GCAGACGAATTCAATTAATCTAACTAATTAGACCCTTCTAATATTAAAGATACTAGCCAATCTAGCCAGATACAGCCTTTCGTGCTTATTAATAATACTAATTTCGATCCTTCCGGCTATAAACCACTTATATCGACTAAACGCCTATATTCTAATTCCGATGCTAGCCGAAACCAAGATAAGATTAAACGCCCTTATATTAATCTTACTATATTTATATAGGCTTTCCTGCTAGACTAAAGTATATAAAAGTAGCTAAAAATTCTAATATCTTCGATTCCTCCTACGCTATCTAGCTATAATCAGCTAGCTAGCTACCCTTTCGAGAGCTAATTTCGTTAAGCTATACAGATCGAATTTAATAAGCTTATAGATATATGTGTATTTGAACTAATAAGCGTATATCTAGTCACACACGTATACTAGACGAATTGTAAAGGTATTAACTAATTAGATTGTCCTTGCTACTAGTTTATCCTAATATAATAGGTATTCGCTTATAAATCAGACGAATCAGGCTATCTCACACGATTCAAAGCTCGCTTATACGTGCGAGGAGACACACAAGTTCCTGACGACTAAGACGCTCGTACTAGTATACTTGCTACTAGAACGTTTCGCACGCTTATCGCGATTATCACGCGATTTAACCTTGAAACCTTTTAGATAGATACTATTAACGCCTTCCTAAACAGTTCGCTAAAGGAAGAAGTTTACTACCGATATCCTCTAGGATTAGGCAGGAAATCGATAGTTCTTTGCCTGCGTAAGGTAGTATACGGCCTACGAATTGCTAGTAAGAGATAGGAAGATGATATTAAAGAAATACTTCTCTTACTTAGATTTAAACCTTACCCTGATAACCCTATACTCTATACCGATAATCGAATAATTATTATGGTATTCGTTGATGATTTCCTCGCTGCCTATTACAAAAGTAAGAGTTCGCACGCTTAGTAGATTAAAAAGCTACTCTTATAACGATTTGAAATAAAGGATTGCGGCGAACTGATATAGTTTATTAGTATTCGAATCGTACGTGATCGAATTAAACGAAAGACCTAGCTAAACTAAGTAGCCTATATTAAGAAGATAGCTGCTAGATTTAATCTGCTAAATAGCTAGAAAGCCCCAAGACTGCTACTTCTAGCTATATAAAAGCTTGATCTAATTCTGATAGAACTAATTAACCCTAAAATTATCAAGCTATATTAACAAAAGTATAGATCTACCCTTTTCCCTACTATTTAGACCCGACTAGATACTATATTCGCTAACTAATTACTAGCTAAATCGCTTACTCGCTATAACGAGAAGCATTTAGCAGCTATCGACTATCTGATATTATATCTCTATACGACGAAAGACCTTTCGCTTACTTTTAATAGCGAAATAAGAGCTTCTATCTTTACTACCGCCTTAGATATAAGCTTTGCTAATAATCCTAATCGCAAGAGCTCTAAAGGATTTATCTTCTACTTATTTAGTAGACCGATTGAATAGAAATCGCGTAAGTAGAAGACTATCACTATATCGACTATAGAGGCTAAATTACTAGCTATTAGTTACGCGGCTAAGTAGCTATCTTAGATTAAACGCCTCTTTTCCTTTATCTAATTCGAAACCGACTAATTAGATATAATTTAATACGATAATTAATAGATGGTCGATTTGCTTATACGCGAGAAATCGACATTTTAGACTAAGCTTCGTTATATTAATATACACTAGCTTTGGATTTACTAGGAGGTCTAAGCTAAACGATTGCGAATTGAATAGGTTAAATCGGCCGAAATGATAGCCGACGGCCTTACGAAGCGTTTATCTATAGAGAAACATACAACCTTTGTCCGATAGCTAGGCATAGAGATCTTACCTGTAGAAGAATCGAACGAAAGCTAGTATTAGACGACTTCTATCTCTATTGTCTTTTATTTAGCTCTCACTTTGACCTTATATTAAGAGCTGAGGGGGTGTGTTAATATAAGTAGGTGTATAAGTGTATAAGCCCACGAGAGCTATCGAATTTGACAGAATGCGACGGAACGTACACGTGACGACGATCTTCAACGATTGATATTAACAGATTGCATACATGACGAAAGAGCTTCAATACTCTATATTTCTCCTGATTTCTATGAGATTCTATTCTGACGCATTGCCTCGATTTCATGAATTTATAAATACTGCCTGTTTTCCTATAGCTAGTCGAATCAAGTTTAATCATTGTGATGAAGTTGGAGCATTTTCTATCATAAGTTAACTTCCGATTCTAAGCCGAATCGTACGACCTTTGACCTGACCTATACGATTCTTTGCCGAATCGTATACTGATTTGATCGATCGTGCATATTTGCTTGCTTGTGCACGCCGAAGGATTTATGCCGACCCCGTAAATCCGTCAGTTTATAATCTAGAGCCGTATAGGAGCTACCTAGTATATAGCCCTTAATCCTATTCTCTTTAGTAAAGCTTGAATAAAGTTAGTAACTCATTTCTCGTCTGCTCTTATAAGGATATAAGGTAATATACTCTACCTAGTCCCTAATAGCTTTGTTGTATCTTCTCTTGGTCTTTAGTATTCTTTTATCCTTGTTCCGGACTGAATCTACTTGCGTATAGGCACCGAAAATATAGCCGTTCCTTTCTAATCGCTTTCAGCGGTTTTCTTTAGCGACCTTATCTTTCGTAGCAAAAAAGAGATCTCTCTCTATACCTTAGGAAAGCTACATCAAATTCCGAGACTAATTTAGAGAAAAGGATGGGTATTAAAGTAAAGAGCGAAGGATAACTATATAAAAGATCTAGAGTGAAGGGGTAGAACCTCCATTTTGTACTTCAATATTTAGGCATAGACTACCGGTATTCTTCAACACTAGAGACCAAAAAACGGCTTTTCTCCGGTGCCTTCCTTTTTTGCGGCATGATTTATCCGAGCTTTTTTCCTTAAAAGGATACAATAACTCAAGAAATAGCTTCATAACAGAAAAAGAGGGCTACACAAAAGTGATTACGAAATAAACAATATTGTAGGGCGCTATACTTCGGAGTTAGCCTGGGTGCGGCGGACTAGGTGCTTAATAGATGCCTCTAATCGGTATCTGAGTAATCAGTGAGCTAACTGATCACACTCACTAAGCGCCCTCTAAGTAGTCACGTGAATACTCTAATCAGCTCTCTAAGTCTAAGTCTGAGTCTGAGTCCGGTCTGAGATTTACTCAGTGAGTCTGACTCTGAGCGCCCTCATAAAAGCAGCGGCATCTCAGAAAGGAAAGCCCCACCTGGCAGAGGAAAAATACTAGGTAGAGTGACCTACCTACGTAGTAGATCGCTTGCTTATAGGTTATAAGCCCGAATTGATTCTACTTTAATTCGGCTTATACTACTTTTTAATCTTCTATCTTTAACGAAGAATTTCTTACTTTTAAGAGAAACTTCTCTCTCTTAAAGAAAAATAAAAAGCTCCTCCGACTTCCTGCTTTCAAAAATTTATACTCGATTTTTACTAGTCGCGTCTACTTCTCTATACAAAACACTAAGAAATCTCGACTTTCTTAATAAAAATAATTATTTTTTAAATATTTAATTAAGTTTCTTTAACTTGAAATAATTAATAAATATAATATCGATCCTCTTAAGGATAAAGAAAACTATATTATATAGTCTATCCGAATCGAAGCTATTCTTAATTTAGAAAGATTAATCAATACTATTTAATTTAATTAACTATACTAAGCTTCCTACTATTTAGTAAGGCTAGATTCCTAATTAGTACTAGTCTTATAAAAAAAGTAATTACTAGCTGAATAGCTCCCTGCATTATGAGATGACGAATCTCCCGCTCCTCATTGATTAGGCAATCATTTCCAGCTGATGGTGCGTACACCACCTCAATCCCCTTGTGGAATACCTCCTGGCGTAGCCAATGATTATGGATGTCCACAGGCCGTAGCCTGGTCTGCAACTCGCTCATCTCTTCAGTGACCAGCCGGATTGTCTGGGCATTGTCGCATTGGATCTGGTTGTCGAGTACAACCCCGAGTGCCTCGATCAAACGCGAAACAAATATCCCTTCTTTGGTTGCCTGTGCCAAGGCGAGAAGTTTCGCTTCCGTGGTGGACGTAGTGACCGTTGACTGCTTGTTGGCGCGCCAGCCGATGACTCCGCCAAAGAGTTTCATCAAGTAGGCTTGAGAGCTCTTCCGGCCGAGGGTATTGTCGGCAAACGAGGCGCCGCTCGCCACAAGAAAGCCGTCTTCTCCGCCGAGTTGCAAATCCAGGGATCTTGTGTTTTCCAGATAGTCAAGGACTTAATATGCAGCTTCATGGTGTTCGGCCGATGGGTTCATGTTGAATCGTGAGAGCCTTGAAGTTGCGAAGGCGATATCCGGTCGGCTGATCACGGCAGCGTATAGAATGGAACCAGTCTTGCGCTGGTACTTCTGAGAATAGTGGTATTGGGGACATGCCGTCAAATGGAAGGAGTTCTTCATTCTTCATCGGGGATGTCGGCTATTTGCAAATCTTGCTGGAGATATTAGCAAGCTGGCTTTCTTCTCAAGCGGTGGCTGCGCCAACAATTGAAGGACTCGCGTCCGCACCTGTCTTATAATTAGTTGATGTTGGGAACGTTTTGCAAGTCATCCGACCTGAGTGGCTGTGTTTGTATATTTTCTACTAGTTCGAGAGAGTGGTTCCAGGCAAACCCACCCCCCCCCCCCCCCCCCCCCCGCCGCCCTCTTCCTCCTCCTCCTTTTATCAAACACCTGTGTTAACATCTGTCCTATCAGCTAAACGTTGAAATAGCCCAATATTACTTTCCTCAGCTGCCGCTTGAAACCCTGCTCTCCCTTCTTTATTCGTTGCTGGGACGTGAGCTATTAAGCAGCGATGACGAGAGTGGTTTGAGTAATAGCGATACTGATCTCAGCAGTGACGATGACGGATGTTCGAGCGAGGATAAACCACCGCCAATGCTATCAACTCCAACTCCATAATCCTTCATATTTTCAACTCAAGGGAAGAACAGTATCGCTTGTCCTTGCTCGAGTCTTCTTCGGCTGGCGACTTTATTGTCTGCTTTTCACAAAATCCCGCTCCAATAAGTAGTGCGGTCAGGGCCGACCGCTTAGCCTCGCTGCACACGCAACTATCAGCAGACGTGTATTTTGTCCGGAAAGCCATAGTCATGGTAGGAAGGAGATGACTTACTTATGAGGGACTTGTGTCGAAACCCATTCATTTAGAGACATGATACATACTAGCGTGGCGAAGTAGATCGGGATACCGCCTGGATAGCCAGCTATCCATAGCGTGATAGGCGCCGAGACAAGTTGCACTAACGCGGTGTACGGCACTTTAGGGTACCCGAGAATGCGATACTTGAAGATGGCCCTAAGTAGCCAGCGGAAGTACGTGAACCAGTCGACACACTTGACCAGAACACGATACCATTGCGGACTGCCTGTCACGAATCCGGTTATTGAAGACACAATATTCATAACACCCATGGCTTGAAACCCGGCCTTGAACAGTGTATCGTTACTCGGAGTATGTTTAACAAGATATAAACTGCTAACCGCCTGAACTAGGCCGAGGGCATGGTCGAGCCGGCCTGGTATAGGAACGCTGAATAGCTAGAGGACGTAATAGCGACCGACGATGATAAAGCTGACGAGAATATGGATAACAAGGGACTTGTACGGATAGCCGGCGGCCTTGGCCGCCTTCGTCGATAGCAAATACCGGAAAGAGGCGCACCATACTCTTAAATACAGACCAAGCATGTCAACTAGCTCGACCACGGGTTGGTGGTCAATCAAGAATGCTTGGGTTCTTGTAAGCTGCGTCTGCAACTGGCGTAAAGCGTCCATGATGTACTCGAGCGGTCCGGCTGCGAAGAAAATAACTGAGTTGTTGTGTCAATATACGAGCGGAAGATGAGGCAACAGTAAAATCTGTGATGTTCTCGTACATATCAGGTTGGGGACCCGGGTTGGGACCAAGGGCTCTATTTATGAGGGTATTGTGAGGGGCCAGTTCTTGATGAAAAAGAGTACGATTCAATTACGATCTCAAATGTTGAAGGAGCAAAAAAAAGAAGGGAGGGCGCTGACGAGGCCTTGACAATGGGGCTCATCGGTAGTGACCCTCGCCCAATACCCAAACCCAATTACCCATGGGTATTCTTTTTTTACCCAACCCACCCAGATGGGTACCCATGTACCCATGAGATACCCATTTCTGCATAAGTAACCTTAGGGTGGATAATTTGCTTACTTTAACGTAATCTACCCCCGTCACGCAACCCCACTGAGTCTCACCCCCAAAACACAAAGCAATGACGATAATTTACAAATTTCTATTCAACCATAAGTTATGATTACCTATTTGTTGGTACGTAGCCGTTTCTCAGCATAAAAAAACCTGTGGGGTGCGCGACTCGGGGATGGATTAGCGGTCAGCAAATGAACGTAATCCACTAGCGAGTGAGACACCAAACACCATAGTAAATGCGGTATTTTACAATTTAATGTCTCAATCAATCAATCATTCATCCATTCATTCATTCATTCGCCCGATCTAGCTCGGCTTTAGATACAGCCGCTCTGCGGGAGTGCTGTCAGACCTGCCTGACAGTCGAGAAAATGGCTTCCAGAGCCTTCTGTATTCCAAGTGTCCAGTTTAAATCGGAACACATGACCACTGGAGAATAGAAATGATGACAAAGGAAAGACAAAAAGGTGTTGGATTTTGTGAGAATCGGGAAGCACAACGCGTTCCTATTTGGCTAGCTCTGGAGATCTGCGTCAGCTTACGTCGGCCGGACCAGCCGTGGGCAGACGGCAGGAGCCAATAGAAGCGGCAGTAGAGAGTAGTAGCCATGGGAAACACAACGAGATCCATATTAGCCACCTTTTTCAGAAACCGGGAAATGTGGGGTCTCCAGATAGGAACACGGATGACTAGGCTTGCCAGATGTATCGGCCGAAAGTCGTGGGGTGGCATTCGCGATCACTACTGCTAGGTTTTGATCCGCCACCTGCGCATCTTCCATCCAAATCGAGAGAGCTGACGCGTCTTCCGATCGAATCGATCTGGACATATCTTGATATCTGCCTATTACAGGGGCTCATTATGCGCCTTGTTATGGCATAGAATACATCAGCTCATATTCACTTTCGCCATCGTCAAGACATGATGATTGATTGACCGCGAAGTGTAGGTTAGATTAGAAGAGAGCAGCAGCCATACTAGATGGATTTAGTTAAGAGATAGATGGATGGAGCGTCTTTAAACACTGTGGGGGGGGCTTCTTTTTAAAGTGGTGAGGATATCGCGGTATAGATTAAACTTTAACACTGTGGGGGGGCTTCATTTTAGGGAGACCCCCTCCCTGACCGCCATCTTTACCGCCCATCTCGCTTTCCTATATTAGACTAGTAGCACACGTTCGCCACGCCTTGGAGTGTTTTAGTACGGCAGAATATATGTGGCAGAAAATAGGCGGTCAGCGAGGGGTTCTCAGACTCGCTGACCGATTACGTTAGTGTTTTAGTTAACTAGTTAGGTTAGTTAGTTAGTTAACTAACTAGTTAGTTATCTAACTAGTTAGTCATTACGATTTAAAATTGTGTATTTCCTCATTCGTTCATTGTGTGGGTGCAAAATGTCCCCACTAATTAGGGTGTTCGGCCAACGTTGTACTAGTCCCCTTTTGGGAAATGAACCCTGTATAATATTAGAATACTCGCCGCTGGCCCTTACTGCGTTGCGGTTCTGGCCCCCACCCGCTTTGAGGGCCACGTGTGGCAAGAACCCTTCGTTGGGCTCTAGAAGACCGGCGATTAGTCTTTGTAAACTATCGACCGCAGCTTTTGCTTTATCTCTGTGATATCTCTTCATTCATCCGAATCATTGTGGCTCTCCCCGTTCTATCCCCTCATCATATATTCGTCGTTCGCGCCGGCCACTAGAGGGAGTATGATAGTGATCAGTCACCGCACACAGGCCCTTCAATTCAACAATGTGGCAGCGGTTACAATGGCTGAGGATTCACGTGCTACTCCTCTCCCTGCTGATGATACGTGCTGTATTCGGTGTGGATGCCGATTTCGAGTCCTTGATTTCCAGGATGGCCCTGGATGATTCGCCGATACCGGACCATATTCCAAATGTGGTTCATTTTGTATTCGTCACGATTACACCGATCGGCTGGTCTGAGTATGTGGCCGTGCGCTCTGCTGCGGTCAATTTGAAGGCCGAGATCATTAATATCTGGGTCCCCATGGAGGCCGATTTTATAGGGAATATGTGGGGAAGAGTGCTGGAGATACCCGGTGTGGTTCTAAGAAGAACGGAAATGCCCGACTCCGTCTATGGGCACAAAGCGGTCGCCTTGGCACATCGGTCGGACTTCGCAAGGCTGAAAGCGCTATACTCAGAGGGTGGTAAGTCGGCGGTCGAGAAGGATTCTTCCTCGGAGACTAAGATTCGCAGGCATCTATATGGATACGAACTTGATAGCGTTACGTTCATGGGATCCAATCATTTTCAATGCGTCTACTCGCAACACCGTCCTGGGATACGAACACGGTACCGCTCTGTGCAATGCCATGATTATGTCGAAACCTCGCGCGCCATTTTTGAGGCGTTGGTTGAGGACTTACAGAATATTTCTTGAATGGCCCAAGCTTTGGAACTTTCAGTCGGGCACTCTGCCGTGGCTCATGCATGTTTTGGGAGATCGTGATCTTACGGTTCTGGACAATCATGCCTGGTTCTATCCTCTGTATGGCGAGGGAATGAATACATTATGGCTGGGCAAGAGCTGGTGGGATATCGGCCGAAATTACGGGGTGCATCTGTGGCATTGGAAAAACGTGTCAATACCAGATCTCCTTTCTAAAGATGTTGTTCGGGAGATAGACACACCTTTCTTCTGTGCTATCAGAAATTTGTTTGATGATTTTGATGGGGATGGCTACATATCCACACCTATGGCAGAAAACGCGAATTGCTCCACAGTGTGGATGGGAGGTGTTGCCACCAATTCGCAGGGTTTATTTGCATCTTATGACTTTTCGACAGATACGACCAACACTAAATGGGTTGACAGCTCTGGAAATCATCTCCACGGCTGGGCTCCAAATGGCACAGTGATTACCCATCATTCGAACAAGTCCACGGTGAGGTACTTCTCTGCTGGTTCGTATGCAGTTCTTCCCGTCCCAGCCGATTACGATGCTCGTGTCGGAACCATCAGTATGAGGATAAACTTTGATGGATATGGACTCCTCTCGGAGTTGCAACTTTTCAAGCTGCGAATAGCGAACCAGCGGGAATTACTCATAAGCTTATTGTCTGACCCTTCAGACCAAAGCACAAGAATCAGGTTCCAGTGGACGGAAGAGTCTTGGTTCTCACCCTGGAAAGAGGCAATTGACTGGTCCAGCAGAAAGTATGTGGTTTTACGTTGCCCGACGTTTCGATGCTGACATAAAATCAGGGCGCCCATCGTGGCCGGCCAATTTCACAATCTCACGGTATCGTTTGATCGACAGTTACGTGGAGTTGTTCTTGTTTTTGTGGACGATACCCTAGTATCAAAGACTCTCATGAGTGTCCTATCGACACCTCGAATTGCACTCGACACCTGGATTAATGCGCGGCACGCGGAAAACCTGGATACGGGCTTCAGAGGTTACTTTAGTCATTTAAAGATGTATTCTAGAGCATTACCCGAGGATGAGTGGGCTAACGGTACGTTTTTGCATGTCTTTGGCGGATGTTTACTGACTTATAGGTCATCACTCTACAGGTCCTTCTAGCCATATTCCATCGATCTCATACATGTATATCGTCAATTACTCTTTTCTTGTATCCATAGTTGGGACACTAGGATTTCTTCGGTACAGATTCAGGGGCCGGAATTTGCGTTACTTGTGTATTTTCATTGCGCGCAAGGTTGTCAAAGGTTAGCTGATGAAGTTGCCCGTCGTGGAAGTTGGTAGCGAAAAAGGATGTATTCTTTTGTTCTGCCCTCAATATCTTGACATGCCTATCCACCTGTTTTAGGGAACTACGTTGTATAGTATAATATATGTATTCAGGAGTGGTGAATCAGGCTCTGTCCATCTTCAGTCTGCGTAGGAGTGGCACAGTTAGGTCAGAATACACATGATACTTATAATTACTGGCTATTATGAAAGGTTGGAAAGTCAAGGCTGACAAGATTGTCCGGGGTCGAGCTAAGCACAGCTGCAGCTGTAATCACACTAAGCGGCTTTTTGATCCCTGTAGCTCAGCTCATGGAGAAAGTTAGCATCTTTATCCTTTGCTGCGGCGTAGGTAATTTCACCCCGAAGCAAGCGAAGGGGTTTCAGCGTGCTAGGCGAATCCATGGCCCTTACACTGACACATTCGAACTCGAGCCTTGGCTTCGTTTCAAAGCCGAGTAAGTCGACGCTGGCCTGACTATTCCAGAAGACAAGAAGTCTCGATTTCCATCTTGTTTGACTGGGTAAATAGGGTATAACTAGCTGCCGGCTCGGGTGAACAATTCTCCCGGTCGGCCCCTATGTCGGAGCAGCAGGATTGGTGGATACCCTAAACATAGTCGGGCCCAACAGGGGGGGGGTGGATTCCGCATTAACAAGTCTTGGCAAGGGGGGGGGGTTTGGCATTTAAGGTTTAAACCCCCTCCCTAACTACCTTAAATCTTGGTATTTTCTGATCGGATCTTTTAGATCTTTTAATAAGATAGCCTGAATTATCTTTGTATCAAAAAATATTAGTAGATTTATAGCTAGAAGGGGCTTACCCTATAGGGCCTGGGTTACGTGAATTATTTTTTGATAGGGTATACCAAGCCCAGTACTTACGGATAAGCTATACTGCTTTCGGCCAGGCTTCCTAAGCCTATATTAGGAGCCTTAGCAATCTGGCAGTCTAGGTGTGAGCAAGCGATGCTGCGCAGGTAGAGAGGGAGGAAGAAGATTGAATAAGATAGATCGATCTTTCTTCCTTAGATTGAATAGGAAGGGTAAAATCAATTCGGCTTAGAATCATAAAGGTAAGATGAGAGAAAAGTGAGGTAGGACTGAAGCTTGGTTGATTGTATTGAATCTCTTGTTGTATGTATTCAACATGATTATTATCTTGGTAGAGAAGGCAGGGCATATTTATAATCAATCTTTTATGCAAACCTATCAAACTTGTCTCTTGCATGTGATCGTTCTAGATGATGCATGATGATCTCATGCAGACAGATCTAGATGCATAGTGATCTCATGCAGTAGCTGTTTTCGGTGGTTGCTTGATTGTACGATGTCATTGACTGTAGTGATGATGTAGATCGTATACTATTGTATGCGTCTTGTACGATGTCATTGACCGTAGTGATGATGTAGATCGTATACTATTGTATACGTCTTGCTTGATTGTACGATGTCATTGACCGTAGTGATGATGGTATAGCATAAAGCTTATAGAGATTCAGCCATCTTGTATAGGCCTTATGAATCTGGCTTGATATGCTGCATGACGGTTTAGGCATCTTGCCCTATATCTCACATATCCTCTATATACTATAGTCCCTATATAGTAGTTTACCTAGAAGGGTAGAGGCTACTAGTAGTTTATCGTAATCCTAATACTTAATCCTCTACTTAGTATAGTACTAACTATTTCTTCTACTATCCTATTAGACTAACTATAAGGAATAGATAGCGCTATACCTCTACGCGATACTAACTCTATATCTCCTTCTACTTAAGCTATCTTCTAGCTACTAGCCCTCGATCCTCTAGGCTAAGTAACCTCTATACTATCTGTGCTACTAGCTATTTACTCCTAGTCTTCTATCCTAGCCTCGACTAAGCTAGTAGATCTAGTACTACTAGGAATAAATCCTTCTTCTTCTAGCGTTTAGTAGGACCTACTACTATCTTATCTACTGTTATGATATTTTGCACTATGAGGCTATTCCTATGTTGAGGCCTTAGGCTTCAGGCCTCCAAGGATCACCAACCATGATATATTGGTTCGGTGATCTACCATCACCCTTTCCCCGCTGCTCCTACGGAGGATAGTCATCCGCTTCCCTGCATGTCTACCCCTCCTTCGAAAGAGGGGCTTACTGTATATAAGGCCTAGCGGTAAACGGGGTAAAGGGGCCCTCTAAGAAACAGTCTCTGTTATAATCTGACTTAGTGCTTTGCTCTCCTACCTAGTTGACAGGCTTTCTACCCTGCAAGTAGACCATATCTTTACAATTCTGTTTCTTCTTCTTCAGCTACCTAGGAGAGATAGCACCAAGAACTCGTTCAACACCCTCTACAGAAGAGGCACCGAACCCCTCCCGTATCGTTGACGAACCAACAGCTATAGAGTCCGAAACCCTCCATGCCAGCCAGACGACTGCGTCGGATCTCGACCTAAACCTTGCAGCTACCCAAGCTACTATCGAAAAGCTGTAGCGCCTAAGGGACCAACAAGATCAAGCCGAACGCCTGAGATCTGAGATTATAGGACGAAACCCAAACGATTTCCTACCGAACCCTTACCAGGAACCCCGCTCCTCGTTAGGAAAGGCCTAGGAGATCAAGCTCAAAAATCTACCTATTTTCACACTCGACTATATACTCTAAAAACGTCAGGAGTGGCTCCTCGACCTGCAACAGATATTCGAGGGCGCACCAAAGCGATACTACGACGACCGTACTAAAATTCTTGGAGCTATTTGCTACATAAACCTAACTTGTCGGTAGAGATAGTACCGACACACCGACGAAAAGGAATCGACTACCTCGCGAAACCATAAGGGAGACTGGTTTTATTTCAAGGACTAGACTATAACCCTTATCAAGAATACGGCTAGTCTCGAATCCGATGTAATAGGACAGCTCGAGAGAACCTACTAATACAAGGACGAAGACCCTCGCGAGTTCTATGTACGCCTCGATACACTTAAGCAACATTTTCCACGGGTAGCCGAGAAAGAGAGAGCTTTGTCCTACTTCGCAAAGCTCTAATATCCGCTCCAAACCGATATCCGACGCTATCTAATCAAGTTACTAGAGAACCGTGAGGAGATGTGTGAGCAAGCGATGCTGCGCAGGTTGGGTAAAGAGGAAGATAAATTAAAGATGATTAAATAAGATCGATTGATCTTTCTTCCTCTTGATTGAATAGGAAGGATAAGTTCAATTCGGCTTAGAATCATAAAGATGAGAGAAAAGTAAAGTAGGACTGAAGCTTGGTTGATTGTATTGAATCTTGCTTGTATGTCTTGAACATGATTTTTGTAGAGAAAACAGGGCTTATTTATAATCAATCTTTATCAAACCTCTTTTGCATGTGATCGTTCTAGATCCTAGATCTAGATGCATGATGATCTCATGCAGACAGATAGTGATCTCATGCAGTAGCTGTTTGATCGGTGGTTGCTTGATTGTACGATGTCATTGATCGTAGTGATGATGTAGATCGTATACAATAGTATACGTCTTCTACGATATCATTGACCGTAGTGATGATGGTATAGCGATGTCATTGACCGTAGTGATGATGGTATAGCATAAAGCTTATAGAGATTCAGCCATCTTGTATAGGCCTTATGAATCTGGCTTGATATGCTGCATGGCGGTCTGGCTTGATAACATCCTGCCCTATATCTCACACCCCCCGTAATCTTTATACTATAGTGCAGATAGCAGTAGAGTATAGAGATTAGTATAGAGTAGATAGGATCGATATATATATATACTGCTATAAGATAGCTAGATATATATCTTCCTAAATCTCAATCTCACAGGGTTAAGTGGTTCCTTCCGCATTCGCGTATAGAGTATGGAAAAACCTATTTAGGTGAAAACCATACTCGAAGGTATCCATGATATTATATATCAAATTGGATATATATATAGCTAGATCTCATAGAGATTAGCTAGATTCTTCAGGTCTTCAAATATTTCTCTTCTGACATTTTTAGTCAGGAAATCTGCTAATTGCAGTTTAGTGGGGACGTATTGAACATCGACCCTTTCTTGTTTGACCTGATCTCTGATATAGTGATATTGTATATCAATATGCTTCGTCCTTTTGTGAAATTCAGGGTTTTCGGCTAGCTTAATAGCTGCCTTATTATCCACTAATATAGTAGGCTTGCTAGGCGTATAGCCTAGGCCTAATCTATCGTTTAGATAGTTGAAGAGATTAGCTAGATAAATAGCTTCTCGTATAGCTTCTTTCATAGCCATATATTCGGCCTCGCAGGTAGATAGAGCTACTGATTTTTGTAGCATCGAATTCCAGCTCACTATATTATTAGTGGCTAGATCTCCAGATAGGCTAAATATATAGCCAGTAGTGGATTTTCTACCATCGATATCGCCTGACCAATCAGCATCAGAGTAGCCTTTTATATATAGGTCATTCCCTGTGCAATCGTAGTGTAGGCCTAGATTTGGCCGATATTGTAGATATTGCCATATCTTCTTTAATTCAGAGATATGTGATTGGTCAGGATTGCTCATATATCTTGAGCAATAGGCAACTGGATAGGCTATATCAGGCCTAGTCTTTAGGCTGGTATAAAGTAATGAGCCAATCTCTTTTTGATAGAGATTAATAGTTTGCTCTGAAGCTTTTGATTGATTTTTTCTTAGGTGGATCCCTGCTTCACCCGGCGTTTTCTTTGGCCGTTTGCTAGTAGTAGCAAATTTTGACAAGATCTTTGATATATAATCATTTTGATCGATAGTTATCGATTGATCTTGATAATTCAGGCTGATATTATTGCCTAGGAAGGTGGCTAATTCGCCTATCTCTTCCAATTGGATATACTGCCTAGCCGCAGTAGCTAGCTTATTTATATAAGCTAGATCTTTGTGTATAATGATTATATCATCAACATGTGTGATGATAATGGCCTGGGTTTTGCCATTTATATATATTCCCTCGTCGATAGGAACTCTATCGAATCCGAGGTTCGCGATAGCCTTTGTAAAGAATTCAGACCAAAGCCTTGGTGCTTGCTTTAGGCCATATAGGGCCTTCTTTAGATAGCAGCACTTATTTTGATGATCTTTTGGCCTATATAGGCCAGTTGGCAAGATAGTATATATATCACTATCGATATCAGCATGTACGAATGCGTTTTTAACGTCGTATTGCCTGATATGCCATTTTTTATTCATCGCGATTATCAGCAATATATGCCAGGTTTCTGTTCTGGCAGTAGTAGAGAAGGTTTCTAGGAAATCAACACCTAATCGTTGATTAAATCCTTGTATAACCCATCTAGCCTTATAGCGAATCGTTTTGTTCGCATTAGTAATATAATTAGCCTGGATGCCTGTGGCATTCTTTATAGGCTTCTTTTTGAATACCCATCTGCCCCTAATAGGTGTTACACCAGGGGGTATATCAACGATTTCATAGGTTGCCTGATCTATCA